ATTTTGTTTTTTAGTTCTTAGTTTTATAACGGGTAAAACTGAAAAAGTGATTTCATAGATAAATCTCAGGTGTACTCTGAGATGATATATTTTGAATGATATTTTGTATAATGTGTGGTTGTGTTTTTGAGGCTGTTATTGTTGTATGTTGAGCATTGTCGGGAAAAAATATTTTTGCATGATATTTTGTTTTTTCAATTGAAAATAAATAAATATGGTAAGCATGCTAAGCAAGCAAATCAGTAAAATGTAGAGTACTGTAGTCAATATGTGCCAGTGTTATTTTCAGCTGTTTCTTCTATCTGCAGAGGACATCACTCTCTTCTATTAAATCTGGAAGCTGCAATTTATCTGAGAAAAAGGACAAATTTGAACAGGATATAAGCAGGTTGACCAGATGGCCTAACCACGAAGGAGGACAAGGCACTGCAAATGTAGGACATTCCAGAAAAACGTATGACACTCCAAAATAAAAGCTAAGAACACTAGTATAAATATAAATTCGTTTCATATGTTTTATTTTCAGCTATATGTCATAGACTCTATTTTAGTATGTACTCAGCATAATAAATAAATGATTATGTATTGCATTTTTCTGATGAACCTGTCTATGTTAAAATGCCTCGTTAGTTTGCAATATACTTACAGAACTCTGAACAAGACAAAGGCTTAAAATTGTGCTTTACTAACAATAAACCCTTGACTGCATCTACATTTGAATTATTCCTTTCATATGTCCATTGTGCTGAAATTAAAGGGGGGAACCCTTTCAACATTTGCATTGTGTCCTCAAGCAGCCCATTGCATAACACAGTTGCTGTCCTTTTTCTCTCCAAGAAACAAACAAGGTCTGAGTGCGAATCTTGCCTGCTGATGCTCCTAGAACAAAAGAACTTAGAAGGCTCTATATCCTATTCCCCATTTACAGCAATGACAGGCTGCCAAATAGATGCATTTCTCATAGGGGAAGAGCAAATGTGATGTTACTCAACGGGCTCAAAATGGAGGACATTTTGGAAATTTTCCTGGATGGAAGGTTGAAATGTAGGTCATGTCCTGGAAAAGGAGGACATCTGGTCATCCTGGGTATAAATCATCTGTAAAGATTAGGAAATGTTTGGGTAATCTGTGCTGATCATGATTAGAGGTTCCTGCTTTTGTTTCCAATTACTTTGCATTTGTATTAGTCTTCTTTCTTAAAGAATGCAAGAACCTTCTCACAAGGGATCCATTCACATTACAGAATTATAGCAGTATTATTCCACTTTGTGAGTCCATTCTACGAGGCCCTGGAGTTTGTAGTTTGGCCATAGACCCTATAGCTCTCCGGTTGAGAATCCTGAAAACCTCTCCAAGAACTGTCAATCGTAGGATTTCATAGGATGGAACCATGGCAGCTAAAGTGGAATCATAGCACTATAATTCAAGGCTTTTGGTCGATACCTCTTGGCAAGATTTAAATTGCATTTGTGCGAGAATTTTTTTCCATTCTTGAAAACAGTTTGGTTTGGAGACAGGGTTTCAGCATACTCATCTTCTTGTCCTCCTGTCATGTTTCATATGAAAATTTCCAATTTTATGAAATCTTTGAGAGAGACATGGGCTTCCTTCTCTACGAAATGCTTTCGGAATATGCTAGATAGAAAGTAATAATACAAGTGGACAATGTGTTCTGTTCCTTGATGCTGCTCTTTCTGTTGTCTGGAAACCACCAAGCCCTATGAAGAGAGGCTTAAGGGGTTGGGTATGTTTAGCCTGGGGAAGAGACGGCTAAGAGGGGATATGCCTTTGTCAAGATCCCCCGTGATATTATTGCAAAGCTAGGAAAAGGTGGGCTAGACAATACAACTGTTAGGTGGACTTGACCGAACCCAAATATCTGGCTCCTCTTCTTCATCCTGGAGAGAAGTGACCAGTGGGGTGTCCAGTGGGGTTCTGTCCTGGGCCCAGGGCTCTTCAACATCTTTATCAATGACTTGGATGAAGGAATAGGGGGCATGCTTCTCAGATTTGCAGATCACACCAAATTAGGAGGAATAGCTAATACCCCAGAGGACAGGATGAAAATTCAAAATGACCTTACAGTAACCCCTCCCAATTCATGGGGGATCCATTCCGCCCCCGCCCCCTGCGAAAATGGCGGCTAATAAATTATATTATAAATGCACACCACCATTATATCCCTCCCCGCTTGTCCCTCCACGAAGAGCAGGATTGGGGACTTGACATCCGCAAATGGGGAGGGACAACTGTAATAGATTAGAAAGCTAGGCCAAAGCTAACAAAATGAACTTCAACACAGAGAAATGTAAGGTACTGCACCTAGGGTGGAAAAATGAAATGCATAGATATAGGATGGGGGACACCTGGTTTAACGAGACTCCATGTGAAAGGGATCTAGGAATCCAGGTGGACCACAAGTTGAACATGAGTCAACAGTGTGATGCCGCAGCTAAAAAGACCAATGCAATCTTAGGCTGCATCAATAGAAGTATAGTGTCTAGATCAAGGGAAGTAATAGGACCACTCAATTCTGCTTTGATCAGGCCTCACCTGAAATACTATGTCCAGTTCTGGACACTACAGTTGAGAATCTGGAGTGTGTCTGGAGGAGGGGGACCAAAATGGAGAAAGGTCTGGAAACCATGAAGCCCTATGAGGAGAGACTTGGGAAGCTGGGTATGTTTAGCCTGGAGAAGAGAAGGTGAAGGGGTGACATGATAGCCCTGTTTAAATATTTGAAGGGATCTCATATTGAGGATGGAGCAAGCTTGTTTTCTGCTGCTCCAGAGAATAGGACACAATGGAGCAATGGATTCAAATGATAGGAAAAGAGATTCCACCTCAACATTAAAAAGAACAGTAAGAGCTGTTCAACACTAGAATACAATGCCTTGGAGGATGGTGCAGTCTCCTTCTTTGGAGGTTCTTAAACCAAGGCTGGATGGCCATCTGTTGAGTGCTTCGATTGTGTCTTCCTGCATAGCAGAATGTGGTTGAATTGGATGGTCCTAGAATCATAGAATCATAGAATCATAGAGTTGAAAGAGACCACA